TATACACATATTAAAAGATCAACAGCTAAATTATTATATAAACAAAATGATACAGCATCCTACTGATGAACTAGAACTCAAATGAAATTGCCTGGATTCAAATCCTAGCTCTACTGTTTACTAGCTGTAAAACATGGGAATATTATTTAACTTCTCTGTGCTTCCATTTGTCCATTTATCAATAAAATATGAATAAAAAATCATGCCTGGAAGAAATGTTTTAAATATAAAAGGAGGTGATACCATGTGTAGCACAGAGTAAACACTTTAAAAAAGGACTTTGCCCAATTTCTCACACTAAACAAGATTTGTCACGTATTTTAGAAATAAGAATGAAGAACTCTTAGTCAGAAAACTGGTATTAAGAGTCCCAAATTCATTCAAAATCATAATTACCTCTACATAAAGTACTTATTGCAACCTGGTTATGTAATTTAACATTGAGATAAATAAAATTCTACTGTCAAGGTCATTTTACCTCAGTTATTACAAAAGAAAAAAAAAGAAACACAAGGATCCTTTCTCTTAAGAAATACAAATAAAACGTGGAATCCCTGTATTAATAAAACAGGTTTGTCTTCAACAGCAAATTTACTGGGGGAAAAATGTACTAAAATTAAGAGAAAATTTTAAGTATTTTAAGATATTCAAAGTTAAAGTGCTGGTGTCGGTCAAAATATCAACATTTGTTACAAATGACATCACTGCTCTCTACAATAAAGAACTTTCATCCGACTACAATTGGCCTAGAGCTAGATACATCATAAACTTAGAGCCATGGACTATTTTCTTTTTTCTCATAAAGAAATTAATACAAGTGACAGGATGTAACAAAAAAGTCAATAATGTAAAAGCTTTTATTTTGGCAAATGATCATTTACAAATTTAAAAAGCCAAATCACGATGATTTCATTTATTTGTTCTACACATATGTGATTAATAAGCATTAACTTTATTTATGGAAATAAGAGAACTCTATTGTTCTATACAGATTAGAAATGTAAACACTTAGCATTTCCTTGAACTACTGACTTCAAAATTATATCAACGTTATTTCAAATAACACTGTGAATGCCAGAAAAGGTTAGATAAGCAAAGCACTCTACTGCCCCCTAATGAAATAAACTTTAAAAATAAGTCAGAAAACTTTTCGAGATACCTGTGGAACAGGAAAATAATCTCACTTTGCTCAACACAGTAGACAAACACTAAGACAATTAACCAAAAACAACTAGAATACATATCAAAATACTGCAGGAAAGCTACAATCACCCAGTTTTTGTGATAAAATTAGTAGAAAAACAGGAAAGCCTTGAGACAGAAATGTTCTAAGAAAGAAGACCGCAGTCACAGAGTGTTATCCAGTGTGATAGCAATTAAAACTTCGCTGCAGGCTACATTTTTCATGTGTATGTTGGAAGTGAAAAAGAAGAAAAGGAGCTCCTTATAAACCACACTCTTCAGTGAATTACAGTAAGTTTTCAGTTCAACAGCTAAAAAGTAAACACTACCAAAATACTCCCTCACAATTTACAGTGACTCTAATCCTCCCGGTTGTTTAATATATGTATATTTTCAGGATAACTACACCCTGTAAAATACACCTATATAAGAACTGTACCCAATGCTTCCTGTTTTATACAAACACCAATTTCATAAGTATGACAGTGTTCTATTTTAAGATACTTTATATCATAAACTAAGCACTAATCACTTTTAATCTTCCTTTTTATAAAAGCTCTCCTTTCCTTTAATAATCTTGTTTTCTAAAACATGCTCTATACCCTCATTCTCTTTACTTAATATTCCAACCTGTGAAGAATTCTCATTTCAGAACAGAGTAAATATTTGAGAGAAAAGCAGTTTACGGTCCTTAATAACAGGAGTTACATAAAAATCAACATAAGGAATAAGATGAAGAGAACAAAGAACAGGGTGCCAAGTCATAAAAACAAGAAGATAAACATCATTCTCAGCAAACTGACACAAGAACAGAAAATCAAACACTGCATGTTCTCACTCATAGGAAGGTGTTGAACAACGAGAACACGTGGACACAGGGAGGGGAGCATCACATCCTGGGGTCTGTCAGAGGGAAATAGTGGAGGGACAGCAGTGGGTGGGAGTTGGGGAGGGATAGCATGGGGAGAAATGCCAGATATAGGTGGTAGGGAGGAAGGCAGCAAATCACACTGCCATATATGTACCTAAGCAACAATCTTGCATATTCTTTACATGCACCCCAAAACCTAAAATGCAATAAAATATATATAAATAAAAAATACAAGGAGATAAACAAAGGAAAGAACAATAATTCCAGGCAGCAGTTCATTGAGGAAAACAGGTATAGTAGTTAGTTAACTACTTTACAGCTGTTTACCTGTTCCTTTACAGCTAGGGCACACCATATCACTTGGAGATGGTATGTTTCTGCCCAGGTGGTGGTAGCTCTATACTTCATTATGTGTCTATTGTTTAGGAGATACAACACACAGGTGCTAAATGTATACAATGCTATAAAAGAGAAAGGCAATACAAAGAAGTCACTTAATGAAAGGAAAGTATCCTTTATGTATGTGTGCTTCTGCTCTTCTTCCTCAGCGTATTTGTTAATTAAAATGGTCCTCTAGCTCTGCACCTTTAAAGTTATAAGGTTAATCAATGTGCATATATACATTTATTCAAACTTTCAAAATACGAACACACAGAAAAATATAATGTACTCAAGCTCATATTTCAAATGAATTAGATTTCACATCTAGATATTCACATCTTTCCTGAATAATCTGAATGTCTTATTAACATGGCTGTCTTACTTGAAGCATTACTCTTTTATTCCTACAGCCTAAAAATATAACAGACACATAGGCATGCTTTGAAGATGTAAGAAAGATGCTAGAAGGACTTGGAAAAGGACTTTGGAAATGCTTCCAAAGTCAAGCGTTACGGAAGTCATGATGCTTAAAGCATATCCAATATATGTGGTCAAAATAGCATACTTCCAATGTATAAAATGCTTTTAGTTACACAGACTTAACATTAGGTAGTGATGAAAAACAAAACAAGTAAACAGCTACTTGGAATGTGCACGTATGTATGTATTTTCACTCATGGAATAGTTCCAGTATACGCTACTGAGTTCCAGATCATTATCCTACACCTAAAGGAATACCTTACTCAGTTCATGGAAGAAAAAAAAAGGGACTTTCCAAGCTCTTTTTCCTCTCCCTTATTTCCAGTAAGCATACATATGAAAAATATAGTCAAGAAAAAAAGGGGAGGGAATGCAAGGAATGAGGGAAGAGGTAATAATTTCAATAGGAAATAAACTGAGAACTTTGAATTAAAACAAATGGATTTATTTTAGCAAAAAATAAAAAGTTTTATTGATGTTGATGGTAGTAGCCAGCATTTATAGAGCACATACTGTAATGGTAGGCACTGGACTAAACACTTTACATATACTAGGTATTCAGTCTTCATAAAAATTGTATGGATGGATACTATTACCTATATTTTACAGATAAAGAAACTGAGAACCAAAGATTAAGTAATTTGCCCAAGGTTACACTACACTAAACTGCAGAGTATGCAGCAGTCCCCCCACCTCCCCTGTGGGGATACATTCCAACACTCCCAGTGGAGGCCTGAAATCATGACTAGTACTGAACCCCATATACACTGTTTTCTCCCATATATACAAACCTATGATAAAGTTAAATTTATAAATAAGGCACTATAAGAGATTAACAGTCATAATAAAATAGAACAACAATAACACAGTGTAATAAAGTTATGTGAACATGGTCTCTTTCTCTCATCTTACTGTACTGTACTCACCTATTTCAAACGGCGTTTGACCACGGGTAACTGAAACTACGGAAGGTAAAACTGCTGATGATAGGAAACCACTAGACATACTATAACAGCTTGACTCTAACCACTAAGTTCATGTTACTTTCCAGTGAAAATTTGTGAAATAAAATGACACTTTTGAAACACTGTAATAAACTAATAAATTATATATAAGACTCAAGTCAATTACACAGAATTTTATAGTACTATAATTTGGGCTAGGCATTTGTTAAAGAAGCCAGAAATGTGGATAATATAATGAACAGTGAAAGTTTTAACAAAAAAGTAGTAATATTTGCATCCTTCAATTCCTGTTAGAAACAAAAACATCTCTTCCATTATTCTATCATCACATTCAGCCACTGTAATCTCCTTCCTCAGATCTTCCCTACTACCACATTCTCAATTTTATTTTGTCTTAAGATGAGATAGTCTTATCTACTTAGAAGGTAAAAGTCACTCCTTCTCTTCTATCTTAAAAGATAATCAATTACAATATAAAATATGATAAAAAGCTCTTGTCATATCTGAAAGATATATTTCCCTATATGCCACAGTATGAAAAACTATTTTATAGCAATGCTTTGATCTTTAATAATCATGTTCAAGTTGTTGTGAAATTAATAAAGTAAAACACCATGTGGTATAAAAAATCTATTTCTCAAAAGCTGGGATTTAAATATATGCAGGCATATTACACACACACACAAAATAAAAACACAATTCAGGTCACCATCATATTGTTCCAGGCACTAGCTGGACAAGAAACAATATTTGCTCTACTACATATATTCAGCTAAAAACATGAAACACTCAGCAATACCCACAAATACCTAAAACATTAAAATCGTAATTCTGTATGGTCTTCACCAACTTTTTTTTACTACAGAATTTAAAAAAAGGCATTATGAAATATTTTTGTAAGAAAGGTACCTTGCAAGATAAGCTATTTTTTGAGATAGGTAAGTAATAGTGATATTTAAATCTGACATCAGTATCTGTCAAAAAAGATACACTTGTTAATAACTGTTTGACTCAACTATGTTTAAATTTTAAATCCAGAGAGCAAAGACTGCTAAGAATAAAAAGTGTAAGTAAGTCCTAACAAACAAAATACATTCTTTTAATGGCATGCCGTTTCTTACCTTTGAATCTTCATTGTTCACTCCGAGTTGTAATACAGCTTGAGGAGATTTTAGTTTTGCTTGAGCAGAGTGAGCCATCTGAAGGTTAAGCTGCCATCCAACCGTCTCTAGCTTTAAAAGATAGGTACGGATTGGAATGAGATGGTAAGGAAGGAAGAAAACAGTCAACTTTAAGCAAATCTCCACTCAGCAGGAATATATATGGATAGCCTGGGCTTCACAGAAAGTCAGTTCCAGGGCTCCTTTAACCTGCATACTCTGCGAATTCTCCTTTTGGACTTATTAGATTGGCCTCATGCCCCACCTGTCAAATTTAACAGCAAAAGTCATCTTTAAATATACTCTATTCTAAAAATAAAAAATTCTAATACCAAGCAATGAAATATGCTAAAAGAGCCAATGGTTTTAAAATATTAAATAGTACATTACTATTTTTAAATAGTAGTTTTTAAAACTAATGACTTTTAAATAGTTACAAATTTCAACTAGTAAACAGCATAAATAGGTGAAAAGCATTTTAATGACTTCCCATTAACTTTCAAAAATCTTTACATTAGGTACTATACAGGTAAGATTTGCTTTTTTTCTTTAATTTAGAGGGAAACTAAAGTATTCTGTTGGTAAGACATTCACACCTTTAGACACAATGAATTTAAGTAGGCAGAGAATTGATATCTACTACCCAGCAAATGTTATCCAACAGACTATCATACTTTCCAAGGTACTCTTACTATCATTCCCAGTTACGAAAGAAACAAATCAGAACATTTCCTTTGAATTTATTAATTAACACAACAGCAAAATTTTAATCAAGTAAGACAAAAATAGTAAAGGAAGACTAAGGTAGAGTTAACTTTTCTTATAAATTATTAAGGAGCACAGATGTGGCTTTATGCTGAACTTGACAGTTTATTGGTGCCTCCAGCATCAGAAGTATAAAGTTTTAGATTTAATTTACTGTAAATCTCAAGCATCGATATTTAGGGAAGTTTTGTGAAATGCAGTTGTCATATGCCTCTGACAACATGACCCTAATAATAAATTTAGTAAAACTACCTTAGCAATACTGAGTAAGAATGGCAGGCTCATAACAATTTTTCCTTGACTAGAATACTAATGACTTAATTTGAAAGACTGTTCAACAGTTAGAATCAAGGCAGTGACTCAAAGCCAAGTTGGAAAGACCGCAATGAAAGTATTATCTATTTGAGAGAGGATGTGATGAGAAAATAAAGATACAGTTCTGTTCTTTATGTCGCTAAACCTTTTAGAGGTTATGGGTAAAAAGAAGGGAGACGTTGTAGAGATATAATCTATAATATCTCTATAATACCTAATAAAAAAATAAATTTAATGGTACACATTAAGTAAGGATTCTTTACATACTGATCTTTAACACTGATTACGGTAAGCATAGTCTCTGATACCAGCCTGCCACTATTATCAAAAGTCACTTGCAATAGACCCTCCAATGAAACACGAATAAATATCATAACCATTCTCATATATAAAAAAGCATTTGCATACATGTTGTCTTAACTGAAAAGCACATTCTAGGTATTCATATGGACCTGTAGGACGTTGCATTTACCTTATTTAATTGATTCTATCCCTCTACATTAGGCACTTAACATAACTAATGAAGAGAAATATTAAGTGAATAAGTTAAAACACACAACCCACTGCGATCAGGCCTTGATATTAACTAGTGTATGCTAAGGCACTGCATAGAGATGATGCAGACAAATCAAAAAGAACTCTAAATTTGAAGCTTATGCTTTGGTTCACGCTTAAGCTATCACTAGCTATATGACCCTGGCTAAACCACAATCTTTCAGGATCTCAATTTCCTCATATAAAATGGAAATAAATCTATTTGAACTACCTATGTTTCTGGGTTACTGATAATATCAAATAACATGCACACTCAAAGGATTTGGGAAACTATTATAAAGTATTATAAATATAAGGCATTTTGGTCACCTAATTTGTTCTATAGTATCTTCCAAACATTTTTCAAATACTTTCCAAAATTCATGACTCATCTCATCATCCACATATTCTCAGACAACAACAATGGTCTTCTAATTGGGCTACCTGCCCCCTATAGAACTTCATCTCATCATCCCACTTCCCTTCTAAAAATTCTCCAATAGCTCCTTACTACCTACAAAATAAAATCCAAATTCAAGTTCTAAGTCTAGTATACAAAACCCCTAGGATGTGATAACACTTTTCCAGTCCTATGTTCTAAAACATATTGCTAATTATCTATAATTTAGCCACACTAAACCAAATAAGATTTCCAGAACACCCTATGCTGTTTCACATGTCTGTTCTTTGGCTCCAATGTCACCTACTCTGTGATTTTTCTCCTTTCCCTTCCCTCTGCAGTCTGCTACTCTGTTCCCTGAACACTCTGCATCTTTCTCTATTAACATTTAGATTAGTGTATTGCAATAATTTGCCTACATGTCTATCTCCTCAGAGTAGACTGTAATCTCCATTAGGAGACGGCTGGAGTCTTATTCACCTTTGTATCTTTGTGACCTACAACAGCCACTGACAAAGTCAACACTAAAGATTCTTCTCAAACAAGTGATCAATCACCTAACATATACAAACTTTCAAGAAGTACTCACAAGAAAATGAACGTCTGAAAGGGGAAGAAAAAAGCTGTATTTCCACTCGGATATGGCTTTGGTAGGAGGCAGGATTGCAACCTATACAGCTAACATTTGGTTGGTTCTTCACATACACAAACATACATACACACACACACCCCTCCCACCTGTCACACATACAATATTATCTGCAGACCAGAGCTTGTCCAGAAATCCTTTTTTATAATGAGTAAACATTACCCTAGCTTTCCTTTGGTTTGCTAAGTGGCAGCTGAGAGTGGGCTGTGAAGTTCCATACTAATTGACCTTAAGCAAGTTACACATTCACCTCTTTGAGCCTCAGTTCCCTCATCCGCAAAATGGAGACAATAAAACCTGCCTCGCTAAGTTGTAAAGGGTTAAATGGGACATTGTCAAATATTGAGGTAGTGGCACCTCCTTTCCCAATTTCTCCAATTAAGTGTTCTGTCCAATCTGTATACTCTCTCCCCAACTAGATATGTGTAATATGTGTATATTTATAATATAGCTATGAGTTAGCCTTCTTTGCTGATATTATAAATTATCTTTTGAAAATACAACTTAAAATATATATCACACAAGTATTATGTGATAGTATACTATCAAGTATTTTGATTTTAAAACTGTAAACCAAATTATATATTTTAAACATATTTACAATGTTCTACTTATTATATTCATTTTAGAAAATTATTAAAAAGCCATATGACAAAAAGATACAGCTCTAATTTTAAAAGTTACTAACTAGAGATAGGCACACAATGGGCAGCCTGCAAACCTCATGGTGATGAAGACTTTGTTACTTATTCACAAAACTACTTAGCCAAGTGGCCAGAAGAAAGGACAAATTGGAGTCATCACTTAAATATTTTGGGTCACAGACTATTTGATAACTGAATGAAGAGTATAGAAATTTATCTCACAATAATGTATACACATTCATCTAATTTTGGATAATTGCATCCAGTTTTGAAAGACTCATGTACTACTCACTCCCTAAGTCGAACCAAGTAAATAGCTTCTAGATTAGAGTTTCTTTGGCCTCAACTAACAATAAGAATGACTGACATAACAAATGTCCAGAAGACAGAGAAGCAGGATCAATAAATTAACAAACTGCATTCTCAGTCCTTGGGTAGCAGAAAACTAATAAGTGAACTGTGTCACTATTTGCCTTGCTTTATTTTCTTAGGGCTTTTTGCCATCTATCATAAAATACACAGTATTTATTTGTTGATTACCACCTAAGATTCTAAACTTCTCGAGAACAAAGGTTTTTGTCCTTTTTATCATTGCTATATCCAGAACACTTAGAATAATGCCAGCATACAGTAGGCACATTCTACATCTATCTGTAGAATTGAATTGAAATAAATTAAAGCATATGGGAAAGTAATTTTTAAAAGAGTCATGAATAAAAGCATTCATGGATTGGCTTTCTTAATTTCCAGAGCCTTTTCTATTAAATTTTGTGATTGAGATATATTTGTCCCATGGCCACATGACAGAGCAATAAAAAGAAATAAAACTGCTGACTTCACATGTGTTTGTGCATACAAACACCCACACAAGAAGTTTCACAGAAAATAATCAGTATTCAGAAAGCTTAAATGAAGAGAAAACATAGAAAGGATAACTAGTATTATAAAACTAATACCTTACAGGTACATAAAGCAATTTAAAAACCTCTCTTTTCAATGAAAACTAACACCCCTGTGAGATAGGTAACACTTATTATCCCCATTTCACAGATTCAAAACATAAAATAAATGTAAACAATTGGTAAATTGGGATAAAGAATATATCTGGCTTCCTTATATCATTATTGCAACTTTTCTGTAAGTTTGAAATTACATCAAAGTCAAAAGTTACAAGAAGTTCAGTCAAGTAAGAATCATCAGTAGACACTGAATCAAAGTGGAGAAAGTCTCATGTGGAACTGTATGTTTACATAGTCACAAAGTATCTACCCCCAATTGCTCTTTACTTATAAAAGAAAAGAGTAGTTATACAGTGGAGGAAATCACCTTACCCACGAGATCAAAATTAACATCATCAAAAAGTGGCTAATGAACATCAAAGTACCAATGGGGGTGATATTCTGCAAAAGTCACAATGCCACTTACACCATATTCTAACCAAAAAATCAGAATCTAAATCTGATCATGAAGAAACAAAAGAAAAACAAAAATTGAAGAATACCCCATAAAACAAGTGGCATATATACTTCAGAAATATCAATTGTCCTAAAAGCTAAGGAAATAACTAATTCCTTACATTGTTTAGAACATATTATTATATTATTTGCCAGGTCTATAGTAGGCATTGGCGATATAAACATGACATGGTTACTCTGTCAAGGTGAAAATCTTATATTATTTAATTATTCCTGAGACTCATAACTAAGCAAATAAGACAGTCACCGATATTTTAGTTACATGTGAAATAACAAAATCCAGTATGGAGTTTTGCCTTAAGTTAGCTAATTATATTTGCTTCTATTTAAAATAACACTCTATCCTGTGTACATCATACCAAGGAACTATATTAATATAATTTGTTTTATTATTTCATATTCAAATTTAAATCTGAGGGTCCTTACATTTTAACGTTAATAGGTTTAAATATGACCAAAATAATATAAAACACAGGAAAATAAGCTGCTGATATTTATAATGGTTTTCAACCCATGCCAAAACTGTTAACACAGTAGTTAGGCATCTCACTTAAATTACCTTTCTACCTAAGAACGTTATGAAAATGTCAGCTCAAAATATTATAACTTTGATATAATTTTAAATTCTTACAATTGCTCTGTAAACCAAAATTCTAAGCACTTCTCAAATTAGCCAAAATTACTCTTTACAATATAAAATGTAAAGTTACCAGCTAAATTTTAACTAGTAGCTCTCTAAAAACAGTAAAAGTTTTTGGACCATGTCCCACCGCAAGAATACTTTTTATCCTGCAAACTGATACAGACATACAAAAGTTTCACAAAACAATTTTTACCCAGAGCAGTGTTTTCTGATAATCTCTTGTTATGTTTCTCTTTTTTCAAAATGCTATTTCAGAACCCTTTAAATTGATTTCATTACCCACTAATAGAACAGGTCATCAACAGTTTGAAAAATACTGCATAGAAATACTGAATGAGTTGTAAAAACTATGTATGTATGAGTATTCATGAAACAGTTATTACTTATTATAATAAATCATAAAACATAAAGAGGCAAAACTACTTAACTGAAAATATTATCTGTTGCTATAATTTACCATTTATTTTACAACTGCCAAATGCTATAAGCAGAAATTCTATATATGTATAGCTCATTACACAAACTACAGCCATACCTCAGAGATATGGGTTTAGTTTTCAGACCACTGCAATAAACCCAAAATCATAATAAAATGAGTCACATAAATGTTTGGGTTTACACTATGCTGTAGTCTCTTAAATGCACAAAAGCATTATGACTTAAAAATGTATACCCCTTAATTTAAAAACTTTATTGCTAAAAAATGCTAACAATCATCTAAGCCTTCAATGAGTCAATCTTTTGGCTAGCTAATAGTCTTGTCTCAATGTTGATGGCTGCTGACTGATCAGGGTGGTGGCTATTGAAAGCTGGGGTGGCTGTGATAATTTCTTAAAAGAAGACAGCAATGATGTTTTTCCACATCAATTGTCCTTTTTAGGAAAGACTTCTCTGTAGCATGCAATGCTATTTGACAACAATTTATCCACAGAACTTCTTTCAAAATTGATGTAAATCCTCTCAAACCATGCCACTGCATTATCAACTACATTTGTTAATATTCTAAATCTTTGTTGTCATTTCAACAATGTTTACAGCATCTTCACCAGGAGCAGATTTCATCTCAACCAATTTCATTGCTTATCCAATAAGAAGCAACTCCTCATCCAATTTTTATCATGAGACTACAACAATTCAGTCCCATCTTCAGGCTCCACCTCTAATTCCAGTTCTCTTGCTATTTCTATCACATTTGCAGCGACTCCCTCTACTGAAATCTTGAACCTCCAAAGTCATCCATGAAGGCTAGAATCAAATTCTTCAAAACTTCTGTTCATGTGGATATTTTGACTTCCTCCCATGAATCACAAATGTTCTTAATGACATCTAGATAGAGAATCCTTTCCAGAAGGTTTTCAGTTTACTTTGCCAAGATCCATCACTATCTATGAGCAATCACTATCTATGGCAGCTATAGCCTTACAAAGTGTATTTCTTAGGTAAGAGGACTTGAAAATCCAAATTTTTCTTTGATCCATGGGTTGCAGAATAAATTTTGTATTAGCAGACTGGAAATAAAAAATTAATCTCCCTGTACATTCTCGTCAGAACACTTAGGTGACCAAGTGCACTGTCAATGAGCAATGATATTTTGAAAGGATTCTTTTTTTCTGAGTAGGTCTCAACCTTAAAATATTCTGTAATCCATGCTGTAAATAGATACGTTGTCATCCAGGCTTGAACACTTAGGTATGAGCAGTCATATTTTGAAAGTAATCTTTTTTCTGAGGAGTAGGTCTCAACAGTAGCCTTAAAATATTCTGTAAACCATGTTGTACACAGATACATTGTCATCCAGGCTTTGTTGTTCCATTTATAGGAAGAATAGATTTACCATAATTCTTACTCTGGGATTTCTGAAGTGGCAAAAGACTAGGTTCAACTTAAAAGGCAATGGCCACATTAGCCCCTAACAAGGGAGTCAGCCTGTCCTTTGAAACTTTGAAGCCAGGAATTGACTTCTCTAGCTGTGAAAGTCTTAGCATCTTCTTTCAATAGAAGACTGTTTTGTCTCCACTGAAAATTTGTTCTTTAATGTAAATCAGTGATCTCTGCTAGGTCTTCTAACTTGCTAAAGTTTCTACATTAGCACTTGCTGCATCACCTTGCATTTTTATGCTCTGGAGATGGCTTCCTGCCTTAGGCCTAATGAACCAACTTCTGCTAGCTTCCAATTTTTTTTTCCGTGGCTTCCTCATCTCTCTGAGCCTTCACAGAATTGAAGAAAATTAGGGCTTTCCTTTGAGTTAGGCTTTGGGTTAAGGAAACATTGTGGCTAGTCTGATCTTTTCTCTAGACCACTTAAATTTTTCTCTTATCAGCAAAAGGCTGTTTCACTTGCTTATTATTCATGTGTTCACTGGGGTAGCATTTTAATGTCCCTCAATAACTTTTCCTTTGCATTTACAACTTGGCTAACCATTGGCACAAGAGGCCTGGCTTTCAGCCTATCTCAGGTTTCAACATGCCTTCCTCACTAAGCTTAATCATTTCTAACTTTTCTTTTAAACTGAGAGATATGCAACTCTTTCTTTCACTTGAACACTTAGGGCCACAGTAGGGTTACTAATTGGCCTAATTTCAAAACTGTGCCTCAGAGAATAGGGAAGCCCAAAGAAAGACAGAGAGAGGGCCGGGTGTGGCAGCTCATGCCTGTAATCCCAGCACTTTGGGAGGCCGAGGCAGGTGGGTCACGAGGTCAAGAGATCGAGACCATCCTGGTCAACATGGTGAAACCCCATCTCTACTAAAAATACAAAAAATTAGCTGGGCATGGTGGCGCACACCTGTAGTCCCAGCTACTCAGGAAGCTGAGGCAGGAGAATTGCTTGAACCCAGGAGGTGGAGGTTGCAGTGAGCCAAGATAGCGCCATTGCACTCCAGCCTGGGTAACAAGGGCGAAACTCTGTCTCAA